CCGTAAATCCTCAAACAATGATAATGAGCTAAAAGAATGAGGATCCTTCTGAGCTTTTTTCAAGTTTAATAATATATTATTTGATTAGATTTCATCTTTGAAATGTTTTTTTTTTCTTTTACTCTAACAGAAAATAATGTATTGGAAAAGAAGCTTGATATCAGCCATGTATGCAGATGCAACAGTAGATATACAGCATAAGAGCACCAAATTTATTTCTCCAGAAAGGCTCAAGTGTTTAGTAGAAAGAACTGCGACTTACCCAGGTTTGGAGACAGTGGAACTCGTAGACGCATCAGCCTTCGTCTATGCAGGCAAAGAGAAGATACATATAGGTTAATAACTAAATGCAGGACATCCTAAAGGGGCAAGTTAAGGCGAATCGATACTCAACTGCAACCGCATTCGTGATCAGATTCCCACTACGAGGCCGAGCATTAAAGAAATTGGAGGCTCCTTCATCGGATCTAACCAGCAAAATGCTTCCCTTCCTTCCTGAAAAGACGCACAAGAACACAACAAAGGCTCTTTAGATCCCAAAAAAGTAACAAAAGGAAGAAGCATTGCGAGGTTCTCATCTTACATAGGAAGAACAAGAGAAGGGGGAAAAAATCCGATACGGAATTCATATTTGACACCGTAAAGAACAAAGAAATGCCCATCAGCGAAACACTAATGCGAGAATCCGGAGAAGGCTACATGGAATCGCAAGAAATCTGGAAAAGGATAGTTAGAATCGCACCTGGAAGAGATACTACTAAGAATTCCACGCGGAGCCTCTGAGAACCGATTCGGGGAAGCCGATAGGAGCGTCGTCGTCTGCAGTGCCGCTGACATCCACTAAGCGGACTGGGATCCAAGGATGAGATTGGTGAGGGTTAGGGCTCGCTCAACTCGCCCTTGGAGGAGATCGGATTGGAGGAGCGTCGCCTGTTCTTATACTGAACCGGCGACGGAAACACCGACGGGAGAGACTGGGTCGTTGGATGCTGGGTTTGGGTTCGGGATCCCATCCAATTCATACTCGTCCCAATGCTTCGAGTCTCCTCGTGTCACCGTCGACTCGTCATCGTCTCAAATCTGAACCACCCATCTTCACAGCACGAATCTTGATAAGAGCTTAATCGGATGGTCAAAATTTAGCGAAGATGAACGAACGGCTGATCATAGGGATGGATTGAAGATCCGGAACTGTGGGGACTGGAAAGGATCCTAATTCTGATAAGGCTATCAGCTTTGAGACTTCGTAGGCATAGGTAGGTCCGGCGTCAGTTAGTTGGAGAAGGTGTAGGCAGTTTCGGGGTTGCTAATGGATCGGATTTTTTACATGTCTAAATCATTTTGGATCATTCAGATAACGGGTTTGACTGTATCGGGTCGTAGTGAAAGTTGGGAGTTACGAGAGTCGTGACAAAGGTGTTGTGACTTGAGTTGTGACTACTGCACCAACCAGTCTGAGGGTGGACCTTAGAACATGGGATCAATTCTACGATTGACTCGATCTAATCAACCAATTTGGTACTCTTTAAACAAGTCGAGCTCAGTCGACGAATAATGGATCGGGTTACAGATAAACCAGCCTCGGACCCGTCACACCCTTCTTTATCGATCCAATAGTAAATAACGGCCCACTTAAACCAGCCCACCTAAGCCTCTCTCTCTCTCTCTCTCTCTCTCTCTCTCTCTATATATATATATATATATATATATATATATATATATAAGGTAGTCCAAAATGTTGCAATATATTTTAGTATATTTAAATAAACTTTTTTTCAAATCAGTGAATCACAATGGGCTAATTCTTGGGAAGAACCTTTTTTTTATATATTTCTCAATTGATATTCCTTTTTAATATATCTTGTAGAATAAATAAGACGCAATAGCAACTTTGATTTCTTTTTTTTTTTTTTTTTTATGAATAGATCCATTGATTTGGATCGATGTAGTTTTTCAATTAAAAGTATTTTTTTAAGAGACTTATAGTTTATTCAAAAACATTGTAATTGACATAGAAATTCACATCTTTAGTTGTTCTTGTTATCAAAGCAATAAAGATACTTATTTAGAATATTTTTTATTTTATAATTGATTTTTGTAAAAAAAAAATTATTTATAATATTTTATTAAAAATTATAATGTTTTAATGGATGTGTTAAGAACACTAAGATTTGGTGGAAGTGTTAAAATAAAAATAAAAACTAAGCATGTTCAAAATTAAAAGTGTAAATCTTATATATAAGAGATTCAACCGATTCATCGAATGGATAAAATTATGGGATATAATTAGGTACCTGATATGATATATTTCATCACCATCCATATAGCAGTAGTCAGCGATCATTATAGTGCCAACAAAGGAGCTCCCAAGCTGACACTACGCGACACTTTGGACTCGAATAGGATAACTACGTACCCACATTATTCAGCACCGAACACTGCAAAGTCGTTCCAGAAAGCTTGGAATGGTGTCGCATAGCACGGGTCTGTATAGGTTGGTCAACACTCGTCCGTAAGGTACAAGTCAGTTGTTCAAGGAGTCAACAACTACTAGCAGACCACGTACGACCGACCCCCCTTCGCAGGTAAAAAACCCAACTCTCTGACCAACGTCAAATGGGAATGACTTCAAGCATTCAACTTCATCTTACTCTACTCAACACTAACTTAAACTTCGAAGGGGTAGAATCAAGAAATCTTCCTCCCAACCTCGGTGTATGTGCAAGAGCTTAGTGATGAAGAAGCAGACAACTTACCAAGGGAAAAGGTCATACTCGGAAGACGAGGCTCGAACTTAACCCAACCCAATGCTCACTTCTATTTGCATGAGCAACCTTGCGCATCCATGGTTGGACCGAGCTGTACTAACACCTCGGTCACGATGTAAATGTTCCTTAATATCCGATGTTGGACCAAGCTATGCTGACACCTTGGCCATGGCGTAAAGGTTCCCTCAATAATACCGTTTCAATTATCTTGTTATGTATTCATTTTAGAAATCACGATAAATAAAGAATGCTTTTTCAAAATATAAAAAATAAAAATCAGTTGGGAAAAACTAAAAGAGAGAGAGAGGGATTTTTTTATCGAAAATTCGACCAACGATGATCATGATTTGTGTTGGTTATCTAGAATTTATTAGTGATAGTGATAACTCAAGAAATAGTAGAATTTGAATTCGGCCACCGGTGTGGAGAGGGACGCTCAAGCTTCCATTGTGACCTCTACCTCTGAGAGGCCGTAGAAAAGTTGGACATATCCCCAAGTACCAATTCGACTTCTAACACGAGCTAAAGATGCAACCATGTCGTGGTCGCCCTACTCGCCACGAATGACAGCACATAAATGCATCTCTTCAACATGCGACAAATCAGCAGCTGTTTGCCACAACGTTTTCTTCATGCGTGCTTTTAGATTTGTGCTTGCATGTGTTGATACTGATATGCATTTTTCCTCAATTTTTTAATTAGAATTATCTGCATATAATCACCACAAATTGTCTCACGTGTTAGATGGATGATGAGAGTGTGGACGGCAGAGACAAGCCGCGGAATTGACACTGAGATAACGGCGGCATTTCGCCACATGGTTGTTGTTGTCGTCGCGGTCGTCTCCGCTACCGACTGGATGTGACGGTGACGGGCGCCATCATCATCGTCATGCTCGCTGTTATCTTGGACGGGTGGACGTGTTGCGATGCGACACGGCGGGTGGATGCATGGCCCATGCACGCGTGCTTCCCAACCCCACCACACAGCTCATTAGGCACTCAAAACATGTGGTGGAGCTCTTATATTAATTAATAAGGATATATAATCCACCCTTATATTAATATCATATATATCAAAATTATTATTTTGGAGGTAATGAATGATATGAAAGTATATGGACATGTCAATTATGGTTGAAGGAAAAGGCGAAAAGGGAGAGGAAAAAGGCTAAAAAGAGGTGTTTGTCGTTGAGAACGAGCGGCGCTGCCGACGAAGGAAGCGTGGGCGCGTAGGGAACGCATGTTCCACGCGCTGTTTGGCCGCGGCCAACTCTTCATGCGTCTTTGTCTCGTCCCCATGGCGAGAATATAAAGGCCTCCTCCCCCCTCCTCTCTCTCTCCACGACTCCACCACTCGATCTCTGGTCATCAGACACACCTGCGATCCACCTCTTTGTTCGAGAGAGCAATGGAGATGGTGGACCTCCGACTTCGTCTCGGCAGCAGCAGTGGTGGCGGCGATGACGACGAGCCCAGCACAGCCAGCTGTAACAGCAGGTGCGTCTCGTGTTCCTGAGGCGTTCGACATATGTTCGAGTGTGCGTGGGTTTTAATCTCTGTGCTGATATGATGTGTGCAGGGTGGCGAGATTGTTCGAAAGCTCAAGAGAATACCACCACCAGCAGCAGCAACCGCAGCAGATTACCTTGTTGTACGATGGTCGAATCTGTGCCTGCGATGTGACAGAGATGCAGGTTCGTTGCCTCTCGCGTTGGTTCCTCTTGCTAAGCTCACCTTTCTGCCTGTATTCAAGCTTTGGATTCGTGTGCGGAAACTGCAGGCGAGAGCAATCATCGCCATGGCCAAGCGAGAGATGGATGGCCACATGAAGAAGACGACCCAAGCACACCGGCAACCGATAGAGTCATCCCTGCCGCCATCGTCTCCTCGTCCCGTGGAGCGGCTGCTCATCAACCCCGAGCTCTCGATGAAGCGATCACTGCAGCGGTTCCTTCACAAGAGGAAGTCCAGATTACATGCTCTCTCTCCTTACGGCCACGGACCGCAAAACTTGTACTCCATCAAGTCCTAGCAAGTATTGTGTTCTTCTTTGAGATGCCACTTTGCTTCGTTTCAATGAGCAAGTCGAACTTCTACAGTGTACAGTGAGCCCGTCATTGGATGGATATCAGCTCAATAAAAAGTGCCAATTGACTCTGATAATTTCTGCCGATAAACAACTGATTCATGTCTTTCCAATATAATTATTCGAACATACAAAAGATGCTGATGAAGTCCAATTCTGATCCAACCCAACACCATTGTATTTAGGCTGTGCAAAAACCCTCCAGACATAATCATCTACTTCATATATCCATCTTGAGGATGCACAGCCTTGAATCAGAATTAGCATGACTCCCACAAAGTCGACCATGTTTTCTCCACTCACCCACAGATCTACAAACTTGGCAAAGAAACACATAAACCGAAGAGTTCGGAACTCACCAAAATGTAGTCACACATCTCATACAAGAAAGATGGGAACAAATTACACAGCTACTGCCCATTAATGATAGGAATCAGACCCTTCTTGATGACTGAGTGAATATTATCATGGTGGGCACATGCTTTTGGCTTCCATATGCTTGACTTTGATGAATTTGACATCGGTCTAACTCGATCCCTTGACATCAACACCCCGAACACCATCCAGCGATCCGCAAGAAGCTTTTGGTCCCTCGAGGAAATGCTGCCCGGAAGGGGGAGGAACTTTGCCAGGTCGCAATCGTCAATGTTTTCTAGGCCTCGTTCGGAAACCCAATATTCTCAGTACAAATCTCGCGAGCTCGCCATATAACAATCCAGAACGATCAAAAAGCTGAGATGGAATAACAGATGATGAATCATATCCCAACATTCTCGAAGAATAAAAATAAAGAGTGTGACATGAAAAAACTAACCTGGAGGAGAGCAGTCATGGACATGGACTGAGTATTCTGATAAATAAGGATCGATATCCGATGGAAGAAATTCACGACACCTTGCATCTGCAAACAGTATTTGAAAATAGTAAATGGCACAACCAAGTAGGCAGCCGTGCAGATACGCATGGAATAAGAGGATGATAGTTTATAGCACATGATATAATTTAATCATGAATTAGCAATACAATCCTGCCAGGGCTTTTGAAGAACAGGTCTCCCAAGAGTATTAGTATTATGAGTTACAGTCGTGTCCGCAGCTGAAACAATTTCACCAGGTTTTGCCGTACCAGATGATTCCACAACATCAGGGGTGCTCCCGGGGGATGGTGGCTTAAATGGTGCACGACCAGATGAACTCACAGCTCCCTCCCATGGTTTTGGAGGTCGAGTACCTGCACAGATACAAACCATTTGCAACACTAAACTCCCATAAAAAACGAAACTGAATATAGAAATCTATTACAGTTAGAACCTCATAGTGTTAGACACAATCCACAAAACAGAATCAAGCTGAATCTGAAGATCTGTGGCCTAAGGGGTAAAAATGCTGGGACAGACATCTTTTAAGAAATAGATGAACTGCAAAAACAAGAACTCAATGGATATCTTCGAATCATAACCCTACTAAGTGCAAATGAAACTAAAAACATTTTACTGTAACTGATCAAGTATCAGGTGGTACTGTGGTTTCAAGCAGCATGATTAGCAGTTTGATGACCAAAGTTTAAGCCAAAAGGAAGTTGACATCATAACACTCGTAACATTTTCTAAAAGAAAACGTAATTGAGGTTAATCTAATGTTTGCTCTGTATTTGATCTTCAACAAATAGGATCTTTAACCCTGGAAATACTTTTAACTAAATCTACTAAAACATATCTGTCAGATTTCAGTCATTATCTTTAAGAAGGCCATAGAATACAAAAGGAAAGATTCCCAGAATATAACAAAAATTCCATGCCACGAGCACCTAAAGAACCTGTCACAAGTTTACAAACCATGTAAAGGCTTCCAGCTATGGTATCAAGCAGCCTAAGAAGCACAGGAACTTCGAAGACACAAGATATGTAAGCAAAGATGCCCAAGGTATAACAAGAAAACCATGACACAGGCACCAAAAAAGAACTTCCGCTAAGAGCTCAGAAACCATGTACAGGACAGGATCCAATTCGGCATCAAGCAAGCTAAAAAGCACAAACACTTCAAAATTCTTGTCAAGATCAAACACCCTTACTCGTTCATCACTTTCCCATGCGACAGGTGACTCAGAATTTTAGGATTCTTATAACATGTATATAACCAGAATCAAGAAAGAGAATTCTGATCATCTGGCTGAAATACTAGGATTCCAGTTCAAAGGACACCCAACGGACCTGTAGCAGGAAACCCAATATTGGCTAAACAAAGACTGTCATTGATCTGGGCTTGTAGCAGACCAAGTCTTGCATGTGCTTTAACTAAGTTTGTACAGAAAACTAATAGTGTCAACTAGACAATTGCTCCAAAATTCTGTTTCTTGAGAACCAATTTTGCTTCGAAAGAACAAGATCGCCGCGGCTCTTGAATCGAGAAGGGGAAATCCAATTGCAAGGAAACCACAATCAAACCCTGGTAACAATCCGGAGCAAATCAACCATTTCAAACCCCAACAAGGACACCAACACGAGGGCTTAAAGATAAGATGGGTTGATACGGGTTCCGCGTGATCCCGATCAAAGGAGCGCGGAATCAATCTCGGGCTAACAACGGCGTGGACGAGGAAGGGGACAATCACCAACCTGGACGTGGAGAATTCAATCCCATGCGACGGCGAAGGGAATCTATATCGACATCGACAGCCGCCGCCGCTTCCTCCTCCCTCACCCCTCCTGCCGCTGCTTTTGCTCCTCCCACTACTACTACTATAATAATAATAATAATAATAATCTACACTATAACAATAAATTAATTATATATATATATATTAAAATATTATATATATAAAATATTATATACATCAAAGATTATCAATTCGGATATGAGAAAAAAATATTTTATACATAAAATATTATATACTGATATTTTAAAAATTAAAAAAAGAGAAAAAAAATGATAAATGGAGGAAAAAAAAAAAGAGTGAACGATAACGACCAAACAAGCAATGGTAGAGAAGGAAAAAGGAAAAAGAGAGAATGATAATGATGTTTCGAGAATAAATATCTTGTAATATTAAAGACAATAACATCACGAGGAGAAAAAGATTAGTATGATATTAAATGATAAAAGTATTATGAAAATATAATAGTAGTGATGACAGCATTGCAAGAATAGAGTTGCGCTTGCAAGCTCTAATTATTATTTTAATTTTTTTTATTTTTTTAAATACTAAGTTGGATAACCCTTTATTATTTTAATTTTTTAATATTCTCTTAAAATAAGAATTGTTTACATGTCGATTCATATTCGAATTAATACATACTGCCCGTTTTGAGTGATACAATACTCACTCGATTGGAATGCAACAAATAATCACATCCATAAACCATTATATTCGTATTTGATTTTTCTATAAATAATAATATTGGTGTTTGGATATATCGATAAACTTAATTATTTGATTCCTATGTTGAAATCAAGATATGAATTATCCAACTTATCAATCATTCTAAATTTTTATTAGAAAAATTAATAAGAGCAATAAATTCAAAGTGTCTTTCCTCTCAATCTTTTTCCTACTTTGAAATCCATATGATATTTATCGAACCCAAAAGATTTCATCGTCTCTTCTCTCATCCTACCTAAATCTACCAAAGGAAGAACGCAAATGTTCTCATCATCAGCTTCGACAGCAGAATCTGCTGCTGCAAGAACAGTAACTCCATGAGCAGGACGATGGCTGCCTTCTTCTTCTTCATACTCCATAGGTTAGAATGAAATGGTTTCAGAGAACTTGGCATGACGAAGAGGAGAGGAGAAGTCCAATCATCGAGGTGTTTGATGATCCATCTTTGTCATCAGTACCCTTTCGAAGGTCCTCCTCTTGTTAGTAAAGGCCTTTTTCTAGTGCTGTCTTGGCTGGAGAACTCTACACGATGAAGCATCATAATATCAATTTTTATCATAAATAAATATATGAATTTTTTAGAAATATATCAAATAATTATATATATCTATATTATTTAATTTAAATAACATCAGATCGATATTTAAAACCTCCTATTAGGATTTTGACTTCTAAACCTGCCATAAATGGCTTATGAATGGAATTGACTGCTACGGAAGTAGGTGGTCAACTTGCGTGTGCTCCAATGTCATACGAAGTTGACCGAGTTTGGTCAACACAAACATCAAAATAGAAGGATAAAGTTGTATTTTTGTTTCACAGGAAAATGACAAATTGAAATGTTTTGTGTAAAACCAACTAATAATCCAAAATTATCTCACAAAAGAATTATTAAGCTATAGATTATCTCACAAAAGGAAGACTGTTTCACTCACACCCCAAATCCAATGACAAGGTCTTTGTGAGACAGATGAATCAAATAAATAATTAGTATATTAGAGCGAGAGAGAGAGAGAGGAAGGGAAGCAATTGAACACTCCTTCCCACCCATTCCTAACTCCTATCTTTTAAGTATTTTATTTTTTTTATTATTAAAATAATTATTAGAATATTTCTTTATATATATATATAATAAAACCATTAAAAATTAGATATTAGAATATTTGGTCTCTTCTTATCCTCTTCTATTTAGTCTTCGTTGTAGCGTAGCAGCGACGGGGAACCAAAAGCTTCCTTCTCGCTGCCATCGCGCTCCAAAATTCGTGCTTGAATTCTTCTGCAATCGGTGCGAACGACTCCAAGATTGCGTCTTGACTGGGTTTTCGGTCTGATCCTGTGGGTTTAGGCGTGTTTGTTGTCGATCCATTTCCGTCGGATTTTTGTGATTCGATGTCGTCCTCCGGTGCCCTGGGGGAGGTGGATTTCGAGGGGTTTCGGACGCTCTGTCGGGCGCCGGCGGTGGAGGTGGCAGCGAAGGAGGAGGAAGGGATTGACCACTTCGACCGGTTGCCGGACTCGGTGCTGCTTGTGATCTTCAACCGAATCGGCGATGTCAAGGTTCTGGGGCGGTGCTGCGGCGTCTCGCGCCGCTTCCACGCCCTCGCCGTCCTCGTCGACGACGTCGTCGTCCGCGTCGACTGCGTCATCTCCGACGGCCCGTCCTCCTCCCCCGGCGCGGCCGGCGGCGCCGTGTCCGACAAACCCCGCGGCGTCTTCTCCCACCTCGCCCGCCTCGTCCTCGGCGGCCTCGTCAAGCCTCTTCAGGCCCTCAGCCAAATCCTTTCCGCCTCCTCCTGCACGGATGCCACCGCCGTCTCCGCTGCCGCCGGGAAGTCCGCCTCGGCGTCCCCGTCCGAGGCCTCTCACCATTCCCCGACGGAGGTCTTGAAGAACTTTAAGGAAGTCCGACGCCTCCGCATCGAGCTCCCCGACGGGGAGCTCGGTGTCGACGGCGGCGTCCTCCTGAAGTGGAGGGCGGACTTCGGGTCCTCCATCGATAGCTGCGTCATCCTCGGCGCCTCCTCGGCGGTCTCCTCGTCTTCGATGCCCCCCAGATCGCCAGACCCAGACCCAAATCCTGGTTTCCAGGACGCCTGTGGTGGTGATGACTGCGGAAGCATCCCGGACTCCTTCTACACCGATGGGAGCTTGAAGCGCAGGGTGGTGTGGACTATCAGCTCACTGATCGCCGCTTCGGCGCGGCATTACCTTCTCCATCCGATCGTGGCCAACCACGAGACATTAGAGAGCTTAGATCTGACGGATGCTGATGGGCAGGGGGTGCTGACAATGGACCGGCGGCAGCTGCAAGAACTACGGACGAAGCCGGTGACGGCTTCGGGGAGCTCACAACGGACCCTTTTGCCGGCGCTAAGCATGCGCCTGTGGTACGCCCACCAGCTGGAGCTGCCCGGCGGGATGGTGTTGAAGGGCGCGACTTTGTTGGCTATCAGACCAAGTGAGGAGCGGACGAGGGAGGCAGTCGGCGGTGCTGGTGGATCCTTTGGGTTCTCGGATGGCTGCTGGGTCTCAGATGCATTCGAAGAGCCATACCGGACGGCGGCTACGATGCTAATGAAGAGGAGGACTTACAGCCTTGAGATGAATTCCTTCTGAGCTTGAAGAAACTATCACAAAATTGAACCTTTAGAGGTAAAAATCAAATCTTGCTCAAGTAATGGAACAACCCAAGTTGATTTCTGTTTACATGATTGATACAGAGGTAATTAGATTCTGCATCTGCTTATTGTTTGGGGGAACCTAAAATTACAAGCTACCAAAGAAAGAATGTTGCATCACAAGTAACAACATGGCATAACCTAATTGTCCTCGAAACACATGGAGAGTTGAGTTTGGACCATAGTGACATGCATGTATAGCAAACGATAAATCTTTGAACTTTTCTTGTAAAAGCACACTATTTTTCCATTGATGTTGGTTGTTCATTGTGAAACACAATCACTAGTTATGTTTCATAAAGATTGTCCAACTCAATTCGTTAATTTCTTTTTGTAAAAGCATGTCATTTTCCATTGATGTTAGTTGTTTGTCGTGAAACACATTCATTATGTATGTTTCGTAAAGTAAGATTGTCCGATACAATACCTTGATAACCAGAAGCTTATAAGAATGTATGAGGTTCATTTCTAGTCGCTATATCATCGGATTGTTTTGATTACACATAAGAAATCATCAATTGGTATATTTGCTCGCATCAAATACAGACAAATAGTTCTTTTTATTTGTAAGTGTCTTATAGTATTTGTTGTCTCAATCAAAATAAGAGGTTGTACCTACTGTTCTAAATTGTTTACTTCATAGCTCCAAAGATTTAAATTTTGTGAAGGCTTTTATTTTTTTTACCTAATAAGGGGTTTCAATTATAATACTTGAGAATTTTAACTTTATGGAAAACATGAATGATGACCTATCTTTTTGTGGAAATTTTAGGATTAATGGATTATGATGTGTCGAAGACGAAGGGAATTCAGATACGTTAAAGGCGACGACAACAACGGTTCCCGAGTATGGGCTCTTCCTTTAAGGGTAACTCGTCGACTCACCTCCTAATCCAATGACCGTATACCACAAATGTTGAGCTGGAATGCGAGATGCCTTCATCAAGTGATACAGAGCATGTTTCTCTCATCTAAGCTTGTTCCATGAGTAAAGTTACAAGATTAGTTGAGACACTTATTATCATCATGTGTAAATCTTCACCTTAGCCTGTAAATTCCTTAGATGCCGTATGGTCGATTGTAACATCCAATGATGGATTTGTTGTAATTCCACTCTGATTGCTACTAATCAAACACTCTGATTGCTCCCTAAGCTCCGCTTCTCTACGTCGGTTGCAATTCCAGGTTATAATCATCCAGAGTGCTGTATGCATTGTTTTCTTAGTGATATCTTCAATGTTCACTGATGCATTGTATGGTATGATCAAACCTCTTGTATTTCTAAATCATTCCTGTCTGGAATGCTGTTTTGCTTGGATATGTTTCATTTGCCTATTAGGGCAGAGGTAACAATGCATTCAAGCTCTTTTATGAGACTGTTTATGAGGGTAAATGTCAGCTTGAACAATGCTGATGTGGATGTTAGATGGGCATTGTCTCTGCTGTGTCTGGTTCATCTTTGAAAGACAAATTAAGGTTTCTTCTTCTTGTAGTAGTAGTAGTTCTGGTAGAAGCTCATAGAGCATTCATATGCATCCTTTTAGGTTACAAAGCATGTATTGCCAACATGAATTCTCTCTCCTTAAACTAAATGCTTTTAAATGATCCTTTTAGCATTGTAACAAGTTTCTAAATGATACTAATGTAACTTGACAACAAACATTATATATATATATGTATATATATATATATATGTGTATATATGTATATATATATATCTGGATGAAGTATAATTTGCACATCTTATTTCAATCAACAGATCAGAGTCTAATCCGCAATACATCAAACAGTTGCCGTGCGTGGTCATCATCTTCTTACGTGATGTCGTATCCACAAGGAAGCAATACAGGAAGGACTGTTCGTCACCATTACAACAGGAAGGATTTGTGACTCCAACCATACAAAGAGGCAAGCGTCTGATACAGCATATATCAACGCAACTCAAGAACACAAAGAACTAAATAATGCTGGTGGTGACAACAGTTGCCACCACAGACATCACCTGAAAACAATGTTGCATTGCGGGTGCTAACCAGGAAAGCTGCGTGTTTGCCATCATTTGCAGTCCTTTTTAATCCCTGCATCAGCCAACTATTTGAAGTTAGTAGCGAACATTTGGGAAGTGTATGATTAGCAGAGTTATAATGAACAATACAGCTTCATGTGACTTAAAACACAAGTTGGATATGTCACCATCAACAATACTCTCAAGGTCAGAAAAAAGTGACTACTGGAAGATTAATTTTTTTGTCTCCTGAAGTATGCAATTGCCATCAAGAGCTGAGTATAGATAAGAAGTAAAACAGCTAAACATGTGATGCAGTGACCAACTAAGGCATCTGAAATAGATTCTGAATAGCAGGAAGTAGCTTTGCTCAAGAACATAAGAAGTTTGTCACTTCGTAGGTTATGTGCTATCTGATGCAACAATTGATCAACAATAGCACTTGAAGCCACTGTAAACCGGAAGCAGAAACCAATAGAAAAGTGCCGATCTCAGTTTTCGGCACTATGAAGAATCAGGAAGAGGGGTGTAAGAGGAGACTGGGAACCCAGGTGGAAATCTCCAGCCACAGACTTTGAAGTCATGATCCTAATAAACATAGTGCTGATGCATTAGCATATGAGGTTCTGCAAAGTATCCATCACCACTAGACTGCTTTGGTGAACAAAATGATGCTATCTTGAAATAACAATTGCCTGTACAACCAAAAAACATTTTAAACCACCAACTACACAGCCCTATCCATGAAGGGTACCACAGAATCTTCTTGCTCCCTGCCTACATAGTGATGGATCAATCATCTCATTGAACCCATACTAAATGATTACGAAAACCTTATACTATAAAAGGGAGCTTTCTCTTCAAATAGAAACATTTATTTCCTTAATTATTGCACCCTTGTGCAAGAGAAAGACCAGTTTGGGTACATTACCAACATTTCATTTATTTGCATGTTTTATCTCAAAGTTCATTTCCTCAGCTTGATCAATCCTAGCCTGAGTCATGCAAAGTCCAGCCCTGCATCGCAACCCTAATCACCTCAAACGTGATCCTCCTCGATCCTTTTCTATTTACTTTCAACATATTATGTGCTTCAACAAAGGAGGAACTAGCAAGTTGGCCTATGATATCTTAACAAGGCAATCAAAATGAAGGAAGTTACAAAAGAACATGCGATAAGAAAAGTTTTCGACAATATTATATACTTCAACATTTTCTAACAAAACATTCTCCATTTTTAATGTTGTTTCAATTTTTCAAATTATCTCTCTAGGAGAATTATTCTCTTACTATTTGGATTTTGTGCCTGTATTCTCATGATTTGCTGTTGTACTCTCATGAAGGTCTACCTTTAGACGCAACATCTGTAGTTCTTGCTCTCAAATTTTATAACACAAGAGCATTATAGATTCAACTCGAACTACTGAAAATGAATTGCTATCATGTGATAGGAAATTGGCAACCAGATAGAAGGTAAGAAACAAAATGTATTATGATCATAAAAAAAGAACTACCAAGTGAAGATAAATAAAACTTAGTCTCAGACACTTCCAGATTCTACTAACTCTTAGGAGTCAGTAGAGATCATTGTTCAGAGCTATTGTCACCAGCTTTTTCCCGGTTGCATTTGGAGTCCAGACTTATTGCACTTGGAAACCTAAGGAAAGTTCTGTTGTTTCTTTCTTACATGGAATTACGGTATAATTGTGACATAAAGTTCTAATGAGTTAACCAGCCATGTCAAAGCCTGCGATTCTTGAGGCCGTCTACTGGAAGAATGCATTCATGTGGCGTACAGCTTCCTAAAAGCTGGCTATGGACTTTTGATTCCGGTTTACTGGCTCCAAGGAACAAAGAAACAGCAAGTACAGGTGACAGGCAACAGTGGATGTTATGTGACTGGCCGGCAGCCACAAGATGCCCGTTTAATGGGGTTCAAACTCGATCACTCCAAAGCTTTTGACACTCGGTGAATCCGACACAACGTGAAGGAACCACAGGCCGATATAAAATTTCTACATGGACACCCGTCCATCCACCATTAAATTCCCCCTCTCCAACTACGACAGGAAACCTCGAGGCAACCTCAGCATTGGATCTCCGTGAAGGACCGGATGAGAATAGAGCACAGAAATCCACAAGGCTTTCGAGAAAAATTAGACTTGGTTGCATTGAACTAGTAGATCAAAATGTAATCTTGCTGACGGCGAGGAAAGCAGCGGGAAGAACAGCTTACCAGCAATGGAGTATGCACAAAAATGCAGCATTTTTCTGGTGATTTCAGCTCTTCCCTTTCCCCTTCAGGTCTGAATGCCGATAGCCATCCCCTCCGTAGCAGAGCTGCAGGCGGCCATCGCACACCGCCGGATACTGATTCTCTGCGCCGGCGCCGGCTCTAGCCGAACCAGCGGCAGCACCGAAGAACTGCAGGTTCGATCCGTCAACCGTAGAAGAGAGCCTCGGTAGGTGGTTGTGATTGTGGTGGTGCTGCTGAGGCAGCTGAGCTGATGAATTGGACTGAAGGGTCCCCCTACTGAAACCTGCAAGACCCGAAGAAATTGAGAAGCTGAGATTGTAGTCCCCTGTCGCTGCCACTGCCGAGATGGGGAAGAGATTATCCTGCAAGAATAATTGCTGCATCTCCGGATGGTCGCCGGTGGTTGCAATGTTGAATGGCAGCATGCCCATCGGAGAGCTGTTTCCAAAGTGGGATTGTGAGGAAAAAGTCGGCGGATGCTGATGACTCTCTTGCGGCTGTGTAAAGAGACCAGCTTGGACGAAGTAGTCCGCCGTGGGGATCTGCTTCTGAATGCAATTGCGGACGGTGTTCTCCGCGCCTGCAGCAACAGTGGTTGCGTTGGCATTGTTGCTGACGTCACCGCCGCCGCCGCCGCTTCCAGTGAGAAGCTCCGTGAAAGAGGTCTGAGGGTTCAGGCTGTGGTTCAGGTTCTGGTGATGGGAGACCACATGATGGCCACCGTCGTCCCTATCCTTCGACTTATCCTTTGCCGCTCGTTCTCGTGCTCGTTCTCTGGCCTTGATGCGGCTTTCCGACCGTGAGAGCGACAAAACTGAGCCCTTGCTGGTTTCCGAGGTGCTACTGCAGCCGGACTTGGTCGACATATGCTGCTGCTGCTGATTGTAGCTCGACTCAGTATCTGGATTGGCCTTCATCGTCTCAACCATGTTAGGATATGGCGGCTTGGGGAAGCCGTCGAGAGGAGGGAGCTCGCTAATGGCCGCAGCTGCAGCTTTGATGAGCCACTCGATAGCCTTGCTTGGCTGGTCATAGCCAAGGCGGTCCTGGAGGTCATAGAACTGGATGGCCGTGGAGACGGAGAGGCGGACTCTCCGGTCGCGGACGCCCCTCGCAGTGTGCACCTTGCTGTGCCGGTCCTTGCCGCCGGAGGCACGTGAGACGCGGAAGATCCTTGACGACAGGTGATGCTCCCAGGGAGCGGTGCCGTTGGCGTCATCTCCTCCTCTGCCCTTTCTCTCTCTGCCCTCCTCGTCATCCTCCCGGTGCTCCTTACGCCCTATCTTGGCCGTCTGACTGCCGTTGCCCACCACCCGGAAACGCTTGGAAGCGTGGTTGCTCTCCTCCAATTCCATCTTGTTCTCATGCCTCTCCTGGGCGGGGCATAAGATCGGATCTTTATCGCCTTATCGCCCACTTCTTTCGTATCTCCACCTCCCGATCGTTCGCCTTTCTGGGAAGGGGTGGTGGTGGTGGTGGCGGGCGCGACTGAGCGGAACTATGTCAGGTCTGGGGCTTAGGGTTTCTGAGAATCCGCGTAAGATTGTCCTTTAGCATTGATGACGAGTTCACGGTCGCAGCACTACGGGAAGGATATGAGACGGAGAAACAAAGAGATGAAGCGGAAAGGCGAGACCTTTGGACTGCGTTGGTGGCCGGACAAGTCAGCCAGTAGTCTTTGCTTTTTCGGTCATCAGCGACGAGAGCTGGACTAGGCTTCCTTATCTCTCTCTTTCTTTCTTCCTGCTGCTCGCGCTAGCTCGTCAGGCCGCCAGAAATCAGCACTGACATCTGAAAGCAGCAGCTACGTACCGCAGCAACGTCTGCGATGAGGGCAGCATCAGACACCAAATTCTGACGGGTTTTGAGAGCGTAGTCATAAAAACACGAAACAAAAAGGCAGCGGCACCTTTAATCCTAGCAGCAGCTTTAAAGACGAAACCAAACGAGATAAGGAAGAAGACAGTGGAAAAGAGCAGCGAAGCAAAAGCCAGGCGAAGAAACAAACGAAAGCGCGCTCGGAAAACAAAACGACCAAAGTCTGATTGACTGATCATGGGTATTGCACATTAAAAACCCAGTTTCTCCGACAAAACCTCACCTTGCGTCGATTTAATGCCTCCACTTCTCGAGACCTCTCAGATCTACCCACTCAATCTTCAAGAACCAAAGAAACCCACCCGCAAAGACGCTCCTTCACTCCAGATTCAAAGAGGAAGCCCGGATCGACCTGCATTCCTCCAATTCTCGTCGAGATCGAAGCGCCACACTGCTCCTTCCACCCCGCCTTCCCGCCCTGCCATTCATCTCTTCCGAATGAAACTAAAGCAAATCCCTCACCGATGCCGCTACGCCCTTTTCGGACAGGCGCCAAAACCGGACCTTGATCTCTTCCTCTCTTCCAGTCTCGTCGGCCCACAATGAGAGCGATGGTGACGGTGAAAGAACAGAAGCAAAACCAGTCGTAGCACCAAGAGGAGGAGGATCCTGTGAGAAAAGCAGCAGATTGGAGAATAAATATTTCTCTTAGGGAGAAATCCTAGCTTAATCCGTCCGAGAAAAAGATGGGGAGGAAAGGAATTCGCGAGAGGGCTCGTGGATCGAAACCCTAGGTGTTCCCATTCGAGCAATGGCCGAGCTTATCGGGAACGGTCAGACACGCCGCCGTCCTCTTCCTCTCTCCATTTTATACACCGGACTACCCCTTCCCATTTACCCCTTCTGCCCCACCGAATCACCGTTGTATCCTAGTCCTTACCGCTTTTCCATGTCCTTCTCCAACACCACACACGCCGTCACCCAACGACGTCTCGAAACGTCGCCAGGATCTTTAGAACTCCCATTCGTGGCATCGTCCTATCCGATCGTATTGCTGTTTCACCACCGTGTAATAGCTCGTACAACAATGGAGGTTTAACTTATTTACGGTATTATCCGTCTCCTCTCTTTCGTCACCGGCGGACAGCCCCGACGTCAAGGGGACCCACTGTCTGGTCCATTCACAGGATAGGTAGTTGTGAGGGTAACGATCAAAAGTAGCTCTTTGGAGATTATTATAAGCATGTTCAGTGTCTAGCAGGCAAGAAGAGGTGGGATAAGTTTAATTAAGAAATAATTAATGAGAAAATTAGAGAGGGGGGCTCAATTAATATAGTGTTTTCTTGCTGAGCTGACCAAAGGGAACATTTGGTTAACAATGCAACAAGTGGAGATTAGAATCTGCACACACAATAATGATGCCACATATGTTGCTTATCTGTTCAGGAATGAGTCAATAGGAGTGTGCAAAAAAGGTCTTTCTGTGATGTCTAATTATCCCCAAGTATCATAATTATGGTTCATTACAGGATTATCATATCATTGATTAATTTGTGCTTCATTTTAGTAATCATGCAGCTTCCCTCTCTCTCTCTCTCTCTCTCTCTCTCTCTC